CGGGACAATACCGAGATCCTGAAGTAGCCAGAAAGAATAAGGTCCGATTAGAAACTACTTTACTGACTGAGTCAGCGAAGGAGTTGTAACAGGCAGTTGTACGCTAAAGGTTGATTAATTACTCCGAGTCGGAGTTTGATGATCAGGACTTTAGGCCTCGTCGAAACTCGCATACTGCACGTGAGAAATTGCTTTATCCGAGGAAAGCTGTCGCTGGCATTGATGAAATCTACCGATCCAAAAGCCCAAGAAGATATGATTGTACTGGTTCATGTGGACTAGAGTCTCGCCAAGGACACCAATGTAATGCTGCGGTCACACACCATCTCCATTCAATGCTCTTTACGCTTGACTTACTCTTCTTCTCGGCCGTCTCTCTGATCAATGACGTCTGTCACGGGAGCATATTTAATAGCTCGGGAAAAGATGCTGACTACGGTTAAGATAATCCAGAGAATCAGTATCCTTAAGTCCTTGTAGGTGAGACCTTTTCAGCAACATTTTTTAAAACAGATCGCGGTCATCTCACCTGCACTCTTCCATGCCTTCTCGAGCAACCAAGACATTTTCTTTCCGCATGTCCGCCATGCAATTCGACATCTTACGGAGGGAAAAGGAGGTGTAGACATGTCACAGCGGGGCGATTTCATCGAGTGCAAGGATATGAGGATAAACTCGCGGTGGGACCATGGAATGAGAGAATGATCAACAAAACTCTAAAAAGCCAAGGGCATGGACTGTGGCAATGCACAATGAAAGTTCAATTCTTTACATAATTTTAGTTCATCCATTATTTCCTTTATTGATTCGTTATATAGAAAATGAATTTGATGGACAAAAAGTAATTTTGGAAGTATACGTAAAATCATGTGAACACTACATAATATGATATTTCGATGTTTACTATGCACATTGGACCACAACAACCTCGAAGGAAGTTGTTTCAATGACTCTAAGGAGTTTAAGAAAATCCTCTTACTTTGATTAAAAATCTATCTAATAATTCAGCTATAATTCAAAATTTTTTTTTATTGATTAGATTAAGAAAATATAAGTTTGATAATGTAATAAATATAACATATATAAATAGCGACTAGTTATAACTCAATTTATACTAATTATTTTTCATTATTGAGTACTCCAATGTACGTGGGTGAGTTACGCGATAGAGAGATGGAAGGAACAGGTTGAGGTATAACTAGCCGTTTCCTATATACATTAGAAATACTTTACAATTCAAAAATTGTATAAGAAAACAAATACATAAGGTATTCATAAATATTTTTTGAAAAATTTAGATTTTCTTAAAATTTAATAAATTTTAAAATTTCACTTTGAATTAAGTTTTTATCATGCTAAAAAATTGTGGAATGAAGTTATGACATTATAATATGCATTATAAATAAAAAAGTCACATTTGAATATTTTTTATTTATTAAATACCAAAAATATAAATATTATTAATAAATAAATTTTAAATTATGGAATTAATTTTAATTAATTAACTGTTTTTTTGACATATTGAAAATTAAATCATATATTTTTGATGAATATAATTTTTTTTAAATTTTTATTATTAAAGAAATATTTAATTCAGATTTTCTTGTTTTGAAAATATTTTATAATTTTACATAGAGTTTTTAATTTAAAAATTAAATTGTATTAATATTTAAAAATTAAATTTATCAAAACCTGATATTAATTATTTTGATATTTTTAAATAACTCTTGTAGAAATTTGAGATTAAATCAATGCAAAGCCTTCAAATTGAATTTTTTAATTCTTTGAAACTTACATTATAAATTTTTATTTAATAAAAAATAAATAACTTAGTCTAGCAAATTGTTAATGATTTCATACTGTATTTTCAAACTAAGCTAAAAAGATTATATACAATTTTTGTATTGACGATGTATTTGAATATTTTTTAATTTAAGAAATTAATTGTAGATTGTAGTTAAAAATTATGTATTAAATTTTATCTTTTACTTAAAAAAATTGAGAATTTGACATTTTGATGTATTATTCACAAAATTTTACATGTTCATTTTGATCCTCATAAACCTATTCTTTTATATTCATATCATAAATATTTTACTAATCATTGTTAATTGATTTTAATTTCTGATTGAAAGTCGAATTACATGCATATTGCAACATCATGATATTTGAAGTGATTTCAACCTTATTTTCATTTTTTATGTATCACAATTTGAACAAGATGATAATATCTGGTATTTTTGGGCTAAAATGACCCTAGATGAAAGTTTGATATTCTTGAAGCACAATATATATCATTTCATGTTGCGTTATATACTAAAAAAACGGTTGCATTTAAAAACCGGACTCGGCCACATGGCCGACATACAAGATATGCAGATTTTGCTAATTATTCTTACTAATTTCTAAGTTTGTCCTGGTTCATGTTTAAACTATAAATGCATAATAGCTGCCTAATTACATGCTCCTGAACTAATCCAATCAAGCCACACTTTAACTTCTGTCTTTTTGGGTACATGCACACTAGTATTTTGTAATCTAGAGAAGAATTAAAGATTTGGCTTACTAACTATGACTGAACAACATTCGATAAAAAAAGAGATAAAGAGGGGGATAATCCTTAATATGAAGCTGGATATGTTTATGTAAAAAAAGCCATAATCTCCACGAGTTACTCTAAGTATAATATTGCTCGAGAAACATGAGACAACAACTAGTGCTTCACAGAATGCAAAAAATTTAAGAATGAAGAGATTGCAACATTTTACCTCCTAAGTAATAAGATGGGGATCCCAGAACTCAAGTTCAGATATTTGGCTATTGATTAATTTATGTGAAATGTTGATGTATTGATTAAATGTAAGGCTCGGCAAGGTAACGTAAAATGTTACCGGGTAAGGCATGATACTTTACATTTATCTCAACTTTTACCTTATTCACTTCACTATTAGCTATCTTTTACTTCTACATTAGAGTAATTACACGATTATCTGGTACAAATTCTTAAAAGTTTGAAAATTACTCTTGCTGGGTAACCTTCAAGGGTTACCAGTAAATCTACCTTTTAGGACAAAGGTAGAAGTAATATGGTAATTAACCCATTTAGTAAACAGTTAAATTGTCAAACTAACATACATGTGTTGTTTGGAGAACATGTATAAAAATTTAATCAAAGAATGGTTATGCGTGGTGAACAGAACATTCTTGAGATATGTCTCCATTGCTCTAGATGCCGTAATTTGGCCCCAAATTAAAGAACGAACAATCTCAATGTTTTTGGTTAGAAGTACCATTTAGTGCGTATCTTTTACCCAGTTAGAGGACACGCAAAAACGAGTAAAGACTCGCCAGTCTCTTCTTCCGGTTTGTGTGTGGTTTAGGGAACGTGAAATTACGGAGATGAAATTCCGAATTTCTTTTTAACAACATAAAACCAAGTTAATAGGTAAAACCTATTGACGAAAAGCCAAGGCAAAGGCAAAACATCTTGAAGCAAAATTCAAACCAACAAAAGAATAAAACCAATATCAAATCGAATGTTGTTCCACTCTACAAGGAGAATGTGCAGAATTACATTTTGAGTAATTTTGATAGGTTAGCGTGTTTGGTTTTTGCAAATACAAGGTTTACTCAAAGTCAATCTTTTTAGCTCTACCATTACCTCACACTTTATTTTACCTATAGCCAAAACTCTAACAATTACCAGGTAATCCTAAATGGTTTAGGGTAATCCTAAAAGGTTACCTTGCGCGGAGGCTTAATTAACTGCAATGGATGTTAATTCTCTTGGGAGTATTATGGCAGACTTTAGTATCATGATTGCTTGATCAGTGTGCGTGCTGAAATTCAACGAACCCAGCGGAGATTGATGTATAAAGTAGCTCGAAAACCGGCGCCGATTCTGGTGAATGGATTCACTTTATAGTGTGAGACATGTCCTTGTTACAACTACGAAAGCGCGCTACTTACTTTGGGGGCTGAGACTCTTCAGCTACAACAGCGTAGCATGGGGTATCGGAGAATAAATTACTTGATAAGACCCATCCAGAATGTAAAACACAAGGAGACCCTAAACGATTCATTTTAGTCTATGAACTGCACCCCACCGTGACCTGCTACTTTTTATATTGAGAGTTGAACGAAAGATTTCGGACCCAACTCATGGCCTCGTCTACGATTAATACACATCACACGGGTCATCATGCAAGACAACCGCTGGGTAATCGGAGAGTCTGTAAGATAATTGTTTTCATGCAATTTTCTTATTATATTACATAAATCATGTGAATTTGTTCATCCAAGATTTCGAAGAACTATTACAGTAAATTAAAATATTTAGCTCTCCCAATTTTAAATCTCCAAGTAAACTCGAACATAATGGTCTTTTGCTAAAACTAAACTATAACTTGAGAGCGGCACTTTTGAAATCGAAAATACATGTTACAAGAGCATACAAGAACTTATAGGGTAATATTCACATAACTCTATTGAGTGCGGCACTTTTGAAATTAAAAATACACTTTACAAGAAATTATAGAGTAACATTGGCCAAGGTGGGCCGTCGGATGGTCCCATCGCGTAAAATAAAACGTCTGGGATCTGGTCAAGTGTTTTGCGTTCGGGATGTGTCCCATCAACTAATTCTCCGATATAGCTAGATACCTGTTAGCGGTTGACTTTTGTGAGAAATACTTATATTTTATTCTTTGAGCGCCCCAAAGAACGAAGACAACAGGCAGAAGAGGCGTGTTCCTTCCCGTTGGAGACACGTCGGAAATCAGTTGCTGTGCGTCGTAAAGGTAACACTATCAGTGAACCAGGTAAGCTGCAAATGCCGAGAACTGCACTCAGAAATCCGCTACAGCACAATGAACGCAAAAAGCGCAAGCCTGTACTTTGCTTGGGATGGAGGCTGGGTAAACTCGGGGACAGAAAGCCACAGAACCAGATGCACGCGAGACAGATGAGGCGAATGAGTTGAGCAAGAGAAAGAGCAAGATGGGCACGAGACTCTGACCCAAGTAGAGAGCCAACGCGTTAGATCAAGTAACCAAGAATAAGAGTCGTTCTTCTTCTCCTTCCTTGAGGAGGTAATGTGAGGAGCAGACAACAACCCCCTTATTCTATATCCTCTCTATAGAATTCTGGCATGCACTTCTATGAGAGGAACTTTCCAGGCTCCTACTACTGGACATCCTCATCAACCTCCACGGATGTAAGGAAGCATATTCTCCCAGGGCCTTTTCAAATTCGTTTCGATTCGTTTTCTGCACATTTGTAAGAGCATGTACTTCGTCCTAACTTCTTGAGTATATCCTTCGATGTCAATCGCCGCGTCTAAATTGGAAATGCACTCAATGGAAGAGTCTGCAGTCTCTCTGATCCTATCAACAATTGCACTTATTGAGTACTCTCACAGTCGAGAGGAGAGAGAGATTCGCCTGCCTGACGGAGCTCTTTCGGGAAGCCCATTAACCTGAACTTGAAGCCCAGAAGTACGATGCTGGTTACTGAAAGCTGTCCGACATATTCATCAGCTCGGTCGGCACGACTCTAAGCACGCTTTCAATTTCGCTGGATCTCCTGCCTTTTTGATTGAGCCTCCGAAGAGATCAGTCCAACTCCGTCAGTCAGGAGGAAAGCAAGGAACCTGCTCTGAAAAGTGACGATCAGGATCAGGACAGTAAACCCGTCACACCTTTATTTATACCTGACATTTATCGAAGTCCTACCTAGCTACAAAACAGTAGCTTCTTCTTCTTCTTCTACTTTTCTCAACTGACTTCACTGTCTGCAGTAATCCACAAGTTTCTTCATGGATAGAAAGATCTAGTAGTAGATACTCAAACACTATATCTCCTGTACACTCTTGTCTTCGTCACGCATCCTCTTGCGAGGGGAAAGAGGCCAGTGACATTCCTTCACAATCTCAACTTGTGACTTCTAGAGCTACACTGTGCAAAATGGATGGTACTAAGTTGAACGAACACTCCGAAGAATTATCAAACATCAATATACACTTGACATATCTGGCCATGCTTTAACCGACATGGTAGTTTCCAGATGATTCAGCTAAAAGTTTAATTTAATGGCGCTTCCTCCTCCAGATCTTGCTTCTGCCGCCTGTAATACCCATCCACGAAAAGATATGACAGAAGTGAGCAAAGCGATCAGATGTGTTTGTTTCCTCTCGCCTACATTTGTTCGCTCTCGAAATAACCCGAATGGTACGTGCATGGAATTACGAAATTAACTTGAGTGATACGTGCATAGAAATATGTAAGCATGCTTGCATGTGCATTCAAATTGTCATGGAAACGGTTCGTCGACTCACCCAGCCTCAAATTCCGGGCCGATCGGAGGTTTATGCAGCGATCGGGGAAGGTGAGGGTGGCAGCGCTGCGAGCTCGAGCTGGTATTGAGTTCTCACAGTTTCGTCATTACTGTGGTGGTGCTCGGCGTCGGGAGCTGTCTTCAAGCTTTCGAAGGCGTGCACAAGGCTGCGCACTCTGCCGCCTTGGATGTCGCGCGGGACGGTGGTGGTCAGGGTGTGATCCGTCATATACTCCTCCGACAGTCGTCGTTCTGCGGTCTCACCCTTCTTGAGATTGACGGTCTCATTCTTGCGCGCTTCGGCCTCGACCCACGTCCGCCCTCGCTTGCCGAACTTGACACTGCCGGGGATTTTGCTCTCCTTCTCCTTCTCCTTCATGCTGGGCACCTTGGCGAGCTTGCTCGGCGTGGGAATGCTGGAGCCCTCGCGCATACTACCGTACCTCGTCAATTTGGAGGTCGGAGTCGAGGGATTCGGAAATCCAGGATCGACGTGCTTCTCGGCAGAGCTCTCGGGAATGGGCACGGACATTTCGTTCGACGACGACGACACGGTCGCGGAGCCCTCGGGCGTCGAAGCGCCGACCTTGGCGCGGGCATCGCTCTGGTCCTCGGCGCCTTTGATGGCGCGACCGGCCTTGGAGCTCTGCTTCATCTCGGAGATGAAGCGCCGGGCCAGCTTCGACGCTCCGGACGCCGTCGTGGAGTAGTCGAACAGATTCGGCGCGACGGTGATGGACGAGTTCCACGACGGCAGAGACGGGGCCTTGGCCACCGCGGCCGACGCGGCCGTCTTGGTGCTCTCTTTCAGTTTAGCGATGAACGTCCGGGCCAGAGAGGAAGTGGCGGCCGCGGAGCCGACCGAGGGCGGGGTGGCAGCAGCCAGCGCCACCTTGGAGGTGGAGCTGTTCCACGACGGCTTCGAAAGCGAACCTGTGGTCGATTCGGACGGGCTGTGGGACGCGGGCTTGGGCACCTGGGAGGCCACGGTGGGCAGCTCGTACCTGGCCCTGGTCGCCACTCTGGAATCCGAGCGCACGACGGATGACAGCGACTCGCACGACGGCGAGTGCCCGCTGGTGACACAGGACGAATCCGGCGAGGTCTGCTGCCGCTGCCATAGCGCGGCGTCCTTCGGGCTGGACTGATCGGTGATGTTGGATCCGACCGAGGCCGCGGGCGAGCCGTTTTCGCCTGCTGCGTCGGCTCCCCTCGAGCCTTCGGCCTGCTGCTCGCTGACGGGCGCCTCGCAGCGCCCGCCGCGATCCTCCGCCGCGGCCTCCGACGCGTACGAGCTTCGCCGCGGCTTCTGCCGCCGATCGTCCGTGACGGAGGACTCGTTGGAAGCGCGGCGCGAGCCGAACGCCAGATCGCCTTTGGTGCTGCCGTGTTTCGCCCCTCCTCCTCCCGGAAGGTTCGACCGGGGCCTGTCCCGGCGCTCTCCCAGCTTCTTGTCGACGGCCACCGAACCATTCCAGGGCCCGTAATCGCCATGTTTCTTATCGACCGCGACGGAGTTGTTCCAAGCGCCGCCCCCCGCGCCTGCTGCCTGCTCGCCGTGCTTCCTGTCGTGCACCGGGGCACTCCAGAACCCGTGCGCCTCGTGCTTCTTATCGATCGCGACGGAGGCGTTCCAGGCGCCGTGGGGCGTGAAGCCCACGGGAGGAGTGCTCTTCCCGCGCTTGTGGTGCGGAGCTCCGGAAGTGGTGTGAACGTGGTTCCTGTCATGGTCCACCGAAGTCCTTCTCGACTTCCCCGCGTGGTTGCCACTGCCGCCGTTGTTGACGCTGTTGTTTCCCGCGCGCGCCTTGTCGGGATCGGCCGAGTTCCTCCGAGCCTTGTCGGCGCCGGGCCCCGCGTTGGTCAAGGAATGCAGAGCGTAGCTCTTGTCGTGATCGCACGAAGTCCTTCTCGATTTTTCGCTGGATCCTCCGACGTTGTCACAGGACGTCCTCCGGGACTTGTCGCTAACTCCTCCGTAGGCGTGCTTTTTGGCTACCAAGTACTTCTTGGGCGGTACGGTCTGTCTCAAGGCGTAGTCGGGGTTATTGGCAGCGCACCGGACGTGGTTGCAGATGTGCGGAGGATTATACAGGCGCTCCACCAGCGCCGGGTTGGGCAGTCCGCCGCCCGAGCCTCGGCTGTGTCGGGTCCGGTGGGAGCCGCGCCGCGATACGCTACTGCCGAACGACTTCTCGGAGATTTTGCCATCGAAACTGACCCCGGCGTCTGAAGTCCGATGCGGCGCCAGCGATGCTCCCGCTGCCGAGCCGTGGAATGTGTCGGGCGAGTTTCTTTCCAGACAGCTCGCAGCGCCCCGCGACGAATCGAACGACGCTGCGACATCGGGGTCTCCAACGTCACTTGATTTCTCAGGAGGATCAGCATTCAGTCCTTGGCACCCGGCGCTCACCCGCTCGTAGAGCACGTTGTCGTCTTGACGGTCCCGTTCGCACAGTTTTTCTGGATTTTCGCCATTCATTGTTCCCCCAGCCTCAGTCCTCAGTGATCGTTGGTGAGCCTCTCCGTCCCTGGATTCCCCATCGAGCGACTTCTTCTCGTCCGACGGCGCATTGACAGACTCCTCGCCCTTGCTCGCGCCATGCTCCTCCTGCTCCTGCTCCAGCTCCAGCTCCCGCTGCTCCTTCTCCTTCTCCTCCTCCTCTTGCGTCCCGCCCGTGTCCTGCACGCTCGCCCCGACCTCTGACGACGATATTGTGAGGTTCGCGTCTCCGCTCCTCGGCCCACCGTCGCCGTCAGCCATCTTCCCACCACGATCTGCATCCGGGAGGTTCTCCGAGTGCGCGATCCCGTCGACAGCCGTCGTCTGCTGGTCAGCACGATCGACCTTCTCGGACCCGTTGCGCGTCGTAGTGCCCTCAGCTGACGATCCGATGGGGTGTGGGGCTTGTCCCTCGACGATCGGCCCAATTTGAGGTCCGCTGTTCAACGGGTTCTCAATTGATGATTTGCTGTCCACAGAGCCCTCCGCTTCTGGCGAACCGGAACCGGAACTGGGACCTGGTCCGCCAGCAGCGGCAGCTGCAGCAGCAGCAGGTGGTCCGACACGAGCTGAGAAAGAGATGACGGCATTCTCTTCCCCGCCTTCGACCACCACCAAGCCGTTCCGAAGATCCATGCTGAACGGCTTCTCCGAAGATATGCCGTCCACGCAGAACTCCGGCTCGGGCATTGCTGCCTTCGCTAACATACCGTGATTCATAGCTTCTGCTTCATCGCTCGGCTTGCATTGCATTCACTTAGCCTGGCTCGTTGATCAATCGCTTCCTTCGCGTCTCACCAATCCATTTGATACTGCAATTCCATCGCACCAAAGCAACCTTCATTAGTGCTCAATTCCTCGACAGACTTCAATTACGCTGTCGCCGCACGCCCATGCACGACCACGGATTGTACACGATTGTACAAATGCGTCGGTCAGCCAGCCAGTGACAGGACGCCCTCCCGCTCTATTATTAGACCAGTTCAAGAAGTGAAGCGTGTGGGTGAAGTGTTTGGAAGGGTCGAAGGGCGTCCCTGCATCAAGGCTTCCCCCCACGAGAGCAGCTCTAAGCGGAGAGAGAAATTCACTCACGCGGGATCGTCAGGTGGAGCCTAGGATTGAGTCGAGACAATCTGCGCGGTAAGTGGACCATGACACACTTCCGCGCGCGTGCATCTTTGCTTCCAACGCAGACTTTGCAGTCTGCGTTGGACTTCTTCTCTCCCAAAGCACTCGAAGGGGAAATGCAGAGACGAGGGAGGGAGGGAGGGAGGTCGGGCGGGCTTACCTCATTGACGATTGCAGGTGCTGCACGAGTCGCTCCTTGCCATGGAGTGTGTACCATGTCTAGCACTGGGTTCGTTCGCCTGCACCAGTCTTCTGTGATGCGATCTCTTATCTTCAGTCGAATTCCGGTATCCAAGCTGCCGATTGAAGCTCACCTCTATCACATCTCAAAGCCGAGGCGTCTCAAGCGGTTGTGTCTGGAGCTTGGACGGGATGAATCGACTCGAGCCAGGAATTTTGGTGAGATACGGTACGTATCGAGCGCATGCAACGGAGGAAACCCCACACTTTCCAATCAACTCTCACACAATGCACAAGCGCCTGCAGTCCGAAAACTACCTCGTCGCAAACAAAAATTCAGATCAGAAACTCCTCTCACTTCCAAGAACTACCATCCAAATCGATCGTGAACGAGACAAAGAAGGAATATCACAGGTATCTGTACATAAGGTGCGCTAAAACCAGTCGTCAGGTGAGCGCCAAGAAACAAAGGCATATTTCGACCAGATTCACTTCCGTCACCACCTCCCTCCCTCTCGCTCGTTCGCACCCTGCTTCTCTTTCTCTCTCCCACTCTCTCTCTCTCTTCCTCTCCCTCTCTCTCTCTCTCTCTCCCTCCCTCTCTCTCCCCTTCTTCTCACTCTCTCTGTCTAGCTCTCTCTGTACTCATTGCAAAGGCCATAATGATTCTCACTCAAAACAATACCCCATTTCTTTCTCAAGATCTGCGCTCCGAACTCAATCAGGGGCTCACTGACCGCAAAGAGCGCTACCACTAGGCACCCGAATTCACGCCCGAGACGCCATTTCATGCCCAGATGCTGCAGGATGCCTGCCTCGGCTGGAGGAGCAACGAAACGAGAACTGCCCTCTGCCCAGCTCTCGGCTCCCCCCGTTGCCCGGCTGGTGGACGGGCCGGCCCTGCCCGCACCTTAAGCCGCATCTGGGAGGAACCCCGCACTCCGCACTCACCACTCACGCTCACACTACAGGATTTCCATGCAGGTGCCCGCCCTGCGAGCTATCCTCCCAGACAGACAGACAGACCGTCGAGGATTTCCGTCCAGGGCTTGAATAATTATTGAATCAAATGTTTTGGATATGCATCTACATTGACTTTCTAATCGGCCAAAACTATTGGAATACTCGAGCGAGCGAGCGAGGAAGGCATGAGAAGCGTCAGTGCTGTGCGATTTTGGATTCACTGCCTTGTGCGCAGCACATGCATCCAGCTAGCATCCCACCCTACCCTACACCTCCCTTCCTCTGCAATCGGCCCATTTGTCCCCACCCTCCGCCGATTGCTCGCTTCTCATTCTATGCGCTTACGCTAGCAGTCGATCATGGCGCTCGATGTTCTCTGGAATATGCTCTTCTCGTACTGTAGCGGGGCCCCAATCTCTTCTTCACCTCGCCCGAAGAAAACGTGTAGCGCTAGCCCAGCATACCGGCAACTTAAACCTTCCGGTTACCACTTTTTATCCGAACGCCATCCATGTTTGCAACCTCATCGGGCTCCAGAGAAGCGTACCCGGTGGCAACACTCTAACGGCTTTCCCACTAGCCGCTTCGGACGACGGTACACTGCCGTACGGTGAAACTCGACGACGGCTCGTGCACATTGGCAGTAAATGAGAAGATACCGAATTCGTTTGAATCTATCTAAACTTACATTTAGTGACACAATTCCGACTTCGGAAGACGAATTAGCCTTTCCTGTCTTATTTTGCTCCCGTGAGGACGTCTGTGCTTTCCAACATCAGAGGAAAGCGAGGAAGTCAAGTCCATAATGTCCAGCTCGCAGACTCCGCAGCACACCGGCGTTCTGAAGTTCGATTTTTGCCACCGGTCAAAGGTGGCGGGGCTTAGGACCGGCCCCACTTGTCACCATGTCAGAGAGAGCGAGAGCCATAAAGACAGTTCAGACAAACATCAGAGATTCAGTACGTAACGTTAATGGCAATTGCTACACAGTTAGAATCGACTGAACCAAGACCGCCAGCTCCAAGTACATTCAAGTTAAAGTATGGATTGCATGACTTCCACTTCAAGTTAAAGTATTAGATTTGGACATCTTACCGATTCTTCCCATTCAGGCACATTTTCAAGCTTGACATCTCTACTCAACCCCGGTTCAACCCTTGCGGAACTTGATCGTGAGTAAGTCAGGTGACTGTGTTGAGCCCAACAGTCTGCGTTTATTTGCGCTTATTTGCGAACACTTGGCCGATGTAAACAATTCTGCGGATGACCAGGCCTCGGAATATTACTTGAATTTATCCGTCAGTTGCTGGCGCTGGGTTTGAGGTTTCGTATTCTACTGTATTGTCCACAGGTAGCCACTGAAAGCATCCAGGACTTTACAATGGTAACGGACTGGGGGCCAAGTTAATAGCAGATAGCAAGTAAATACCTGTCAGGTTACGAATCTAAATGCGTAAGTAGGGGCTATATCCAATAGTATCTGTTCGTCCAATATGTCATCTATCATACAATATACCCAAATAATTTAAATAAAATGTTTTCACTAACTGATGTTGTTTGTTGATTCGATGAAAACATGTCGTTGTATAGAAATTAAATTAGTACACTTGGAACTACTATGAAAACAATCTGCAGACTGTATGTGAAATCAAAAGTGAATTTATATCCATTTTTTACTTGCGTATGTAATGTGAACTATTCATAAATTTTGCACATTTTTTCAAATTGATCTTCACATCTTGATTAAGAGCCAATGACGCACTGGAAACGAGTTTCATATCGCCCTACATGCTCTACTATGGGAAGAGAACATCTAACTAGCCTAGTTTTACAACTAGTTAACTCTCAATTATTTGATTCCGCATTACAGAATAATTTACAACTTACAATTGAGAATTATTACAGAAAGAATAATGTATGGATGAAGAGACAAAGGACTTAAACGTCTCAGAAAGTTATGTAACGAATGAAGAGAGCAGTGTTCAAAACGAAGTTGAATGAAAATTGCTATTGAACTATTTACCCATCTATGGATGAAATTATAATATATATATATATATATATATATATATATATATATATATATAAGACAACACCAAGAAACTCATTCAAATATAACCACTAAACGTAATTGACACTAAGAAACAATTCATTCATTTCGGTCAATTACGTCCATGGGCACTAACGTCTTTTTATTTGAAAATTTAACTGTGTCGCTATCATCATTCCTATTAAAAGGTAATTAACATAAAATGAGTAATTATTATCAAATTGATTGGAGTTAAATGTAAAGTCATTTTTTTAGACAATATAAAAAACTAGAGTAAAAATTTTACAGTTTTGAATGTTATCATGATTTGCTTTTACATAATTGGTTTATAGCTTCTCTGCTCTAATTTTGATTGTGTCAGAGATAATCCAAACACATGTGAAACAAAAGTAAAAGATAAACTGAACAATTATAACATTACTTCGCTATCTCACTTTTGACACCAAGCACTTACTGGTGACAACCCACTTTCCACGCTTGGCAGCTTAAAGGGCAAAATGAAACAGAACCCTGATATTTCTACTTCATGATGAAAAAATCGTTCATTTACATCATCATATTAATGAGTTGGACGAAAATGACTCGTGATGGAAGAAGCAAAGTAGTAACGTATGCATACTTATCAGATCCTAACATAGAAACTCTAGTTCATTTGCATTGCAGCAGCACAAGCCCATACTATCTACCTTCGAACTTTCGTTGGATATTGGTATTTTCAAACTCTCACACAAGAGTTTATATTGAAAAACCTATTAGTTTACAATTGCAAGACGTGATACTTATACATGTTTTATTCATTTTTGAATATTTTACAAGAATATTTAATCATGACTGAAAGAAAGATATAAATTTTGTTATATATATATATTATTAATATTTTCATATAAGGAAAATTATATATTATTTTTCTTTGTAGATAATATAATATGCTAAAGATATCATGTTTTTTAAAAATAATCTTATTCATAATAAATCAATTGCTTTCAATTATTTGAAATTGAGATCTGAAAATGTTATCAGTGCTAACCACAATGTCTACTCTATGTTGTTACTTGTTAACTTTTACAATAATCCAAGGGTTATCGGTGGCCCCATTCGATTGCTTCGATTTAGTTTCTAACCCATCGTGGTCTCAAACAAATTGTCATACTCAGCATTATCACGTTTCAGGATAGTTAGTGAAGTTTTAAGGTGAAACTTCTTCATGAAGGGCACGTGTATCATATGATTGATATCCAACTCAGTCTCTGTATAGTTCTACGGTAGCACAATGTTATCCACACTACTAAAACATGTGTATGTAATTCAGGTGCAATACCCGACACATAGATCGAAGATAAGTTCTGGCTCTGGACACTAAGTGATATTGTTACAATATAATATACATCAAGAGTGTAGGGGGTTATCGTTAACAAGGGGAAATTTATCGATCTTGATGAAATCACGTGAACTACTTGTACATCGCAAGTCCTTGAGCTCAGAACAGAATAATGCATTGCTTTGGTCCGAGGATATTAACCGTTGGTTTCCAGTCATTTGTCGCTCCACAGTTCCTGGAAAGCGGAAACTAGACGTCCGTACTACCGGGTGACAAAACTCCGTACGGAACAGGCTCCTCCTATCGCACGTCGCGGTTCCAACCAACGGCAGCCCCCCGTCCGAATCTGCCCCCAAATCGCAGAAATGAATTTCCGCTCAACCTTAACTCTAAAATACTTCTTGAGCTGGCGAGAATCCATGTCCCTTCCTGTGATCGAATGCGCAGGTTCCTTACAACAGCTCATGCATTCAAAGTATAAACTGTAGGGACAATGATTAAATCATACCGCAGAGTCGCATCATTAATTGGGGCCTTTGTTATCGACGTGCGGGGTGATTTGCCGGTCCCGCTCTTGAAGAGTTCCGGTACTTCACCGGGGGGTTCCGATTCCGTAAAGAACGGGAGAGAGAGCGCCATAACTCTGGTCGGTTCATTTAACCCGAGTGTCGCTCAGTCAGACTATACGCCGTGGTTCGATCCGAGGCACGGACTTCCGACTTCCGAGGTTTGAGGCCGCGAGGCGGTAGTGTCGCCGACGAGCCGCAGGTTCTCAACCCACGCCGTCGGCTCAAAACGAGGAAGGCGGATACCGGATGTGATTGGTCACGCAAGCAATAACCGAGTCAATCAATCCCCATCTCAGATCCGGCTGGTGATCGATCTGGCGCCGTCGTAGCGCCAAAGTTGCATCCTCCCGCCGGCCCCGTAATGCTCTGCGCTCTTCTACCGGCGAGCTCCCGCATGCGGACAAACGGAACCCCAGCAGGCTTGCGCTGGTTTCCCGCGCCAGAAGGGTAACGTCGCATGACCTCGCTCCGTCCCTCTCTGGGCCAAACGCCGCGGAGAGCAGGCCACGGCACCGGGTTCTTTCTGCGCATCCTCGGAGTATCATCCATGTCGGACATCATGCGGAACATCGAGAGATCATGATGCTGCACTCCGACGTCGTATAGTGCAGTCTTTCGGCGTACAACACTGGGACATCGTATGCCGATG